ATAAATTAAAAGATGAAAAATCGGTACCAAAATTTTGGGTTGATAAATATAAAAAGGAAGCGTCGAAAAATTGGTTAATATACACAAAATATTCCAAACTTGCTAAATGAATTTGATCTTACGGAAATTCGTTGTGGCAATAACGCCAACATTTTATGTTTAACCGAATGCATCCAGGGACCTATTTTATAAAAGAAATACCACCAAATTTTTCAAAAATCGAAATTGGATTGGAAGAGAATTTACAGAACTTTCCTTTAACGATGAAGATCTATGTCCTAATGATCAGAAGGCAAGCACCATGAAATTTTTGTCTCTCTACTCCGTCTTGATAGTTCCACCTCTAATCGCCCTTTTCCCTGTTGTACTATTTCGAATTTCATCAGAAGATCGTATTAGAATTAGGATGTGGAGTGGGGAATTTCATTTTTCCGGTATTGGAATCGAATCCAAGATTGTTTATTTACGCCTGTGACTTTTCTAAACGCGCGATCGAATTTGTAAAGGTATTGGTATTGTGTGAGAACAGATAACAATTATTATTTACCATCTTAAATTGTTTTAAAAAAATAATTGTGTGCATAACTAACTGCCGTTTATCCATCATTGTGCATAAAGAATCATGAAAATTATAATGAATCAAGTTGTCATGCCTTTGTTTGTGATCTGACTAAAGACAATTTGAAAGATCACATTTCATCGGCCATTGTTGATATAGTTTCAATCATCTTCGTGTTATCCGCTATACCTCCTGAACATCATTCATATGTAGTTCGGAATGTATCAGAGGTGAATAGGATTTCGAAATTGAAAATTATCAATCGATTTTTTAATAAGTCTATATTTTATTTAATAAGGTAACAAGAAAAGGCTCGATTCTGTGTTTCCGTGATTATGCTCAATTCGATGAGACTCAGCTGAAATTCGCGGCAACCAATGAACAACATAAGTTGCAAGAAAATTTTTATGTTAGGCAAGACGGTACTATGTCTTATTTCTTTACTTTAGAATACCTTAGAGAGATATTTGAAAATGATCAGTTATTCAAAATGATAGATGGAGGATATGTTACTAGAGAAACTATTAATAGGGCGAAGGATTTGTGCATAGACAGAAGATTTTTACAAGCAAAGTTTGAGAGGCTGTAAATCTTGCGCGTTATTTATTTGATATAAAAAACAAAAATGAAATGTTTAAACTAGATATTATAAACATTCATATCCTATCGAAATTTTTGGGATGCCAAAGCCAATTCTTTCTCCATTTCAGAAAAGATGGAAATTCCTGATTCCAATGTATCTTTCAGAATTTCTATCTTATTTGAATCAAGTTTCGATTCCTTTATCATGATGGAGAAAAGCGTTAATATAAAAATAAGTCAATACGAAAAGTAGACGATTATGACGAATTTTTTTCACCTTTCGAATTGTATCTAGATCTTCTTCAAAAGCTTTTGTCATTTGTGCCATATAATAGTCTCGAAATTGTTTAGCGACATTTGGACGCGACAGTAATGGTATTGGTTCCGGCTCTTCGATCTCCTGAAAGATGTCATAAATATATTGTCATTCTTTAATATGATTACATCATATATAGTATGTCTTACCTCTCCTTTTTTTCCAGAAAAATTTTTCGATTCTCCTTGCGCTCGATTTTCTTGTTTCATCTCATTTGAAGAAACATTATCTATTTCCATATTGTGGTCGCTGTTATCATCTGATTTCTCTGTTTCCTTATCCGAATCTGTAATTATCAATTCTTCCATTTTCGTTTCTTCCCCAGACAAATTAGATTCATCTTCCTCATCACTAATATCTTTATCAATATTTTCGTTCGATACTCCAAAATCCATGTTTTCCATATTGTTTTCCGACCTTCTTTCATCGTCACTGTTTCCCTCATC